GGATCTTTTCCCCCGTGGGGCTCAGAGCATCCCTTCCCTCTTTGCATGCCCACTGCCTCCACATGCCTGGTGAAGCTGGCTAAGAGATGGAGAGAGCCTGGAGAGGTGCCCAAATGGAGGTCCTTGTATTCCCCATTGCGTGGCCCTGTCAACAGGTCTGTGTCCTGCTGTGTGACTTCCATGCCTATTCTCCTAATCAAAGCCCAAGACAGGACTCTCCAGTTCTGAGCCACCGTCCACTATTCAGTCAGATCCAAATCTTACACAGGATCTTCACCCCCACTTCCATCCTGACTGCAGCTCCATGCCCCTGGCTGAATTTAGGAGGGAGGTGGATCCCCCAAAGAACCTTACTGTATGGTGGGTGACCCACAAGGAAACAGGGAGTTTTTTGTCCCTTGGGAACCTCCCTCTGCAGCACCATCAGTGAGTGGGCTCAAGGTCTAGCAGTAGGCTGTGGAAACTACAGTTTCTCCTTCTGAGGCATGCCCTGATTATTCTTTCTTTTAAACTAGAAGATATTTTTGTCTAAGGGATGGTGCTGGACAACTCTATGGGCCATTGATGCCAAATAACGAAGGATCCTACGGAGAAAATACAGGTTATAGAGAGAAATAGTAAAAGAGAAGAGAATTTATTTGGATTCACACAGAATCCAAATCAAGGAATCCCTTCGATGGCCTCAAATGCTAGAGGCTAACAAGCAAAAGGATTTGAACAGAAAAATTTCAGAATCCTTGAGGATTTTCTTCCCTTTTTGCCTGTGGAAAGTGAATTTTCATACAAGTGCAGCTTTAAGGAAACTGGCAAGGAGAAAGAAGGGAAGACAATCCCCCTCCTTGCTCCTTGCTCAGCAAGCAAGGAGGATGTCTCCCATCTCCACGTGCTTGCGGATACAGGGTTCAACTGTATTTGCATTCCCAAAAATCTGCCCTGATGGATCCATGCAGGTAGGGTGAAATGTAGCAAATGGTACTTCAGCAGCATGGGGAGAGGTAATGCCTTGATTTATGTGTCTGCTTCTCAGGATACCTTGCCAGTAATATTAAAAGCAAGATTTTGGAAAACTTTCAGGATTAAAAATTAACTGGAGTTTATCCAATCTCTTTTTATTAGGCAGTGTTTCTCCCAAGGCTGCAGAGCTAATACCAGATTGTCAGATTGCCCAAAACTTCGAACCTCTTGGAGCAGGGATTTCACAGGTCTGTGCAGAGCTGCTTAGTTTAAAATGCAGCCTTGTGTTCCAGAGCTCATTCCGAGATTTTTAACATGTTGATCTAAAGGATTTGGCAATGAGGAAGACACTTTTCCTGAGATATGAGGAAATCTTTCAGCTCAAGAGAGCCTGAAGGGAAAACCCAACCCAGTCAGGCTTGCTGCAGGTGTCTAAACATCACCTGGTTCCTTCTGTTTTGAAAATCCTATGGGAGCACAGTCAGGATCCCTGAGCATTCCTACAACTGCTGACCCAGCTAACCAAGCAACAGGGGAGATTGTATCCATTAATAGTGAGTACACATGGAGCTATGGAATGCTGATCTACTTTGTGGGGCGCTGGTGGAGATATTTAGCATTCCCTTGCCAAGGTATGGATGACTTTCCTCACAGCTTGTGAAGGGATCAGGCTGTGATGGGATCAGTTGCAGCATAGCTGAGGGTTGACCCAGTGGAGCAAGGAAGAGAGGATCCTTTTGCCAAGCCCACCTGAAGGGAGGTATGGGCAGTTCTTGGCTGGTGGGACCCAGAGGTACCAAAGACAGTCAGGGTTCTCATTCCCCAGGTGTTCTCCAGTCTCATCCCTTGCCGTTTTCTCACCCTGGGCTTTTCCAACCCTCCACTCTTCTTTCTCCCCACCCACCAGGTACGGCGCAGATGTGGACGTGAATCACCACCTCACTTCCCAGAGCCCCAGTCGCTCCCTGCGGCCCCTCACCACGCTGATGGTCTGTCCACTATACATCAGCGCTGCCTACCACAACCTCCAGTGCTTCCGCCTGCTCCTCCAGGCGGGAGCCAACCCGGACTTCAACTGCCGCAGGCCCATCCACATCTGCGGCTCTCCGGTGTCTGTGATGGAGGCTGTCCTGCGGCATGGCTGCGAAGTGGCATTCGTCCACCTCTTGATTGACTTTGGAGCCAATCTGACCCTGGTGGATGTGGAGGCCTTAGAAGCTGAATCCAGGGCAAGAGTTAAAATCAACCCTGAGGCTATGGAGGTGTTCAAAGAAGCAAGGAGTAAGTAGGTTTGGAAGCTGCCCCTTCCAAACTGTCCATGCGGCAGCTGTCACTGCTCCAAAGCTTTGCCCAAAGGGTTTGGCCTCCTCGCGAGGAGGTTTTGTGCACACTTAGCTTTCCTGTGCTGCCTCCATGTTGCTGTTATCCTTCTCTGTTCTTCTGTCTCTCAATAATTTGTCCCTGTGTTTCTCCTTGTAGGCTGCACCCGGAGCCTCTTGTCTCTCTGCCGCATTGCTGTACGGAGAATACTTGGGAAGTCTCGCCTGGATGGGATCCATATCCTTCCAATCCCAAGCTGCCTTAGACAATTTTTACTCCATGAAGACAGCTAAAGGGCAACTGGCTGCTTTCTAGGTAGTTTGAGGTGGTCAGTGAGTGCTCTGACAAAACCAGGCGCCAGTCCTAACCCTTTCTCCATGGGGGATATACTGCTCATGGAGGGCACATAATTCCCTGCCCCTGTGGCTTTCCCCTCCTAATTTAGGGTGCAGTGATTTTGTGTTTCTGTTATCTCCCTGAGGATTTACAACTGGTTGGGCAACAAGGCCCATCAGCACGTGTGGATGTTACCTGAGTAAATACAACCTATCCTGGAGCTGTTGGCAGATGTCTAACCTCTGTTACTGATCTGTGTTACACACACCTTGGGTCTTAGTGGAGTTTCTGTGTGAGGAAACTGTCCCTGCTTAAGCCTTTCCTCTTCCTATGGGATACAAGGGAGTCTCTCCTCACCTCAGGAAGGGTTTTACAAGAGCACTGTTCTCTCTCTGCCATCAGTACCTGCCTTTCTCTTCCGTGTAAAGTTTGTGCTTGCTGCTGTAAAATTGGATGTGTTTTCTTCTGTCCACTTCTGCTGTGAAATACATAAAGTTTCCTCTCCACTGCTGTGAGTTACTTGGAAAATTTTATCCGTGTCTTTCCATGCTGCAGGGTAGCTTCTGAGTTGGCTGTCTTCATGTAGAGGCCCCAGGTGGGATAGTAGCAGAGTGGGTCATCCTCTCCTGAGTTGTTCTTACAGACACCAGGCTTGCTCTGGCAGCTTGACTCTCCTCCCAGCACTGGAAGGGACGAGGTAGGGGCTGTTCTCTCTTCCCAACTGCCCGGCACTAGGTCAGAACTTGTGACCACTGTCGCGATGGAGAGACGTGTCACAGCTTGATGCAAGCAAGATGTCCGTTTATTGTTGTTTTTCACAGATACTTAGAGATTTCTTGGCTTAGCGTGTTCCCTGCCAATTGGCTTATTCTATATGATAGGTGTGCACCAATTGGTTAACCTAAGGCACAACAATTTATTATGTCTTCTTCACCAGCAACATCCCAGCAGCTTCCTAACTCATGACTGGTGAGCCAGCACGCAGTCACTTTCTGTTCAAGGTTCCCATCTCCATGCCTACTCCTCCCAAGGCCTTCGGGCAACAAGTCCTAATACATCCCCTGACTAGCCCAGACATGCTGGAGCCTTACTGAAAGCAGCCAGGCCACTCCCCACATCTCCCCCTTCCTGTTGCACAGCGAGGATTCATTTTACAGAATCCTCCATCAACCTTTGTGGACATTGCAAGAAACAGGGGAAAAAGTTTGACAAGAGAAGAAGAACAATCAAAGCATAAACAACTGTCTTAACCAAACTTTTTTAAACATCTTAACAGTCCTCAGGAGATTCGCAGATTTGCTGCCCAGAGGGATGGTCCTGAGGATGATCAGAGTCCTCACCGGATGGTTGTGGTAGGAATTCACGGAAAGGACACACGTTCTTTGCTGGAATCCACCTAGGCCCTTTCTCTGTGGAAACACAAGCATAACCTCTGCCCCAAGTGAGAAGGGGGTAAGGTACCTGTTTCTGGATCCCAAACCAACA